CGGTGTACCCCTCGCCCCGCATCTAGCATACCCTGAAGCCCAAGGCTCCTCCTCAGGGCCCACCTTGATCCCACATCCCCTGGGCCCCGTTCCTGCCTCCCTGAAGTCCACGGCGGCCTCTGTCAGCCACGCACACACCCGCTGGACTTCGGCCTCATCGGTCCCTGGACTTCTCTGCTCTTCATTTTCCTGGTGATCCACAGGGCCCAGGGCCACAGGGCATCCGAGGGGCCTCAGCCTGACAGCCTCCTGGACGATGCCCTTGCTCTGCCCTGGGGGCCTCTGCTTCCCTGATCAGAGGGGCCTGGCCCCGGGGACACCATCCCTCCCCCAGGGAGGAAAGCATAGTCCCTTCCCTTCCAACTGGGGCTTCCACCCCTCTCAGGGGCTGGTGGGGGAGGGAGGAGGCAGTGAAGATGCAGATAAAATAAAAAAGATAAAATGCAAGGGTCCTCTCGTGTGTATTCCTGAGTGGTGGGTCCAAGGCCACCGGTACCAGCACAGTGGGCCTGCCTGGGTTCTGGGACGGGTGCAGGGTTGAGCTCCAGTGTCCCAGGAGCAAGGTAGCTGAGTGGGAACCGCCCTGCCCAGCCTGGGGCTGCTGAGACAGGTTTGAGCGGCTCTGAGCAGCGGACTCCAATCAGTGGGTACCCGGGTCACTCCTAAGGTGTCCAGTGGTCCCTCTTGCAGTCCAGTGGGGGTTTCCACTTGCTGCTGGCTGTGCTGAGGACTAAGGGAGTGGTGACTGGCCCCCCAAGTGGGGAGAAAGAGCTATGGCCTGTGGCGAGAGTTCAGTTCCCTGGGGGAGTGGGCGCTGAGCGGGTTGGCGGAGGCAAAGCGGGAAGCAGCCAGCTTTGGGGTTGGGAGCTGAAGACAGAAAGGGCTGAGGAAGAGCCTCAGCCACGGATGGAGCCAGAGTGGTCCCTGGAAGCGGCATCTTCACAGGTACAGCTGTGCAGGGTGTTCACGGAGCAAGGGCCCCAGGCCGGGGGACACGTGTGGATGGAATCCCCCTGTGGGCCACTCAAGCCCTGGCGTGGCACCGCACCGCCTGGATAAAGGGCACCCTTTTCTAACCCGTGCAAAGGCTCCTTAAGAGCTAGGGGTGGCCCTGGAAGGGTGCTGAGAATGGGAGGGGTTCTCCCAGGCACAGGCAAGGCAGAGGGTGTTCTGGGCAGTGGGAGCCGCCTGCACAAAGGCCTGGGTGCAGGCCCCGAAGCGAGGAGTGACCAAGAGGTAGAAGCAGAGAGCCGTGGAAGGGTTGGCTGAGGCCTTCGATACCAGGCCCCCAAGTTTGTCCTTAAACTGGGGCAAACTGGAACCACGACGATGGTGGAGCAGGGAAGTGATAAGGTCAGGGCTGCATGTCAGGATTTTAGGCAAAAGTCCAGCTGCCCACTGGCCACATGGGGACGATGGGGTTAGAGGCTGAGCCTTCCCTGTGCGTCAGCTCACTGCCTCACTTCTTTGGGAGTGAAGTCAATTTTTTGTGAAGAAGCAACTTAGATGGAAAATTCTGTGGTGCCCAAGCATTCGAGGAGGCTGAATGGGCAGGACCAATGTACTGTCTCCAGCTCCTCCACATGGGGGAGATTTCCCTCTTCCTTTGTCCTGCTCTCCCACTACAGCCACCTACCCACTATCCATTCTCTCCTCCTCAAAAACTGAACCCCGGCTTTCTTCAGACGGCGGTGAGCCCAGCTGAAGGCAACATTTCTAGCTTCCGCTGCCCATATAGTGTGGCTTTGTGACTTAATTTTAGGATATGAGATACAAGCAGAACCTGTTGCAAGAGATTTCTAAGACTTCTCCTTGAAATACAAACAATATTGGTAAAGGCTGATCCTGTCCTCTTGCTTCATCTTGCATTCAGTGTGGAATGCAGATGTGATAGTTGGAACTCCAGCAGCTATCTTGGATCAGGAGGTGACCTTGAGAATTCTAGTCAAGTGCTGAGGATAGCAGAACATAACAATGTACCCCAAAACTTAGTGGCTTAAAAAATTAATAGTCATTATTGTCTTTCTTTGTTTCTGTGGGTCTAGAATTCAGACACAGCAAATAGGGATGGCCTCTCTCTGCTCCAGGATGTCTAGAGCCTCTGCTGAAAGACTGGACAGTCAGGGGTAGAATCATCTTAAGGCTCCTTCACCCACATGTCTGACAGTTGATGCTGGCTGAGGACTGAGGGCCTACCTAGGGCTATGGGCTGGAACACTCAATGGGCCTCTCCATAGGCTTGAGCTTCCTCATGTCATGGTGGCTAAGTTCCAAGGACAAGTGTACCAACAGGGTGGAGGCTGTATTGCCCTTTATGATCTAGCCTCAGAAGTCACAGGCATCACTTCTGCTCCTTTCCATTAGTCAAGGTTATTATGAAGTTCCACACAGTTTCAAGGAAAGGGGACATAAGACCTCACCTCTTACAATGTCAACATCACATTGTAAGATTAGCATGTGCGATAGGAGATACATTAGTGGCCATCCTCAAAAAAGCAGTCACTGAGCCAAATGCCTTTCCTAACTGACCGATATCTACAGAGTGGTCTGCAAAATGAATGCCAACCTTTTATGATGCTGTTTTGAGGGAGAAAGGTGGTAGTGTGTCAGATGTGGGCCTACTGAGGGCAGAATGACCTGCTCCAGTCATTTTTTGGAGCCTTCTGACCTGTGGTAGATTAAATAGGGCCCCAAATTCTTTGCAGCTCCTCCTTTCAAGCAGTGGAATCTATTTCCCCACTCTTTAAATCTGGGCTGGCCTCGAGACTTGCTTTGACCAACAGAATGTGGTAGAAGTGAGGCTGTGCAACTGCTGGGGTTGGGCCCCAGAAGCCATGCGGCTCCCCCTTGCGCTCTCGTGGAGCCCCAAGGCCACCATGCTGTGAAGATGTCCAGCCTAGCCTCCTAACAGGTGGGAGGCCACACACGGGAGACCTTAGGCCCCCAGCAGGAGGCAGCATCAGCTTCCACGTATGAGAGTGAGGCCATTTGGACTTGCCACAGATGACCGTGGCCACAGGAGCGACCCCAGGTGTAACTAGCAGACAAACCACCACGTTGATTCCAACACAAATTGCAGACCCACAGAATGGCGAGAAAGAAGAAATCCTTGTTTTACACTAAGTTTTGGGGTGATTTGTCATGTACATAATGCACATCTGGTACAAGACCCCGGAGCCCCTTCCACCTAGCGATGGAGGCTCACTGGGCCTGAGGCTGCTCTACGCCTGCCCCGAGGAGGAATTTCTGTCTAGAACGTCAGCTGAGACAGAAGTGGGCTAGTTTTCAGTAACCCACGGTCATGCTCCAAAGGTCAGATGTATTTTCCTTCTCTTTGGCTGCTGTTTTAAAAACTTATAGCCCCAGCAGGTTTGGCTCAGTGGTTAGAGCATCAGGCCTCGGGCTGAAGGGTCTCAGTGCGATTCCGGTCAAGGGCAGGCACCCCAGTTGCAGGCGCAACCCCCCAGCCCTGACGGGCACGTGCAGGAGGCAGCCAGTCGATGTCTCTCTCTCACATCAATGTCTCTCTCCCTTCCACTCTCTCTGAAAAGTAATGGAAAAAAACATCCTGGGGTAAAGATTAAAAAAAAATTTATAAAACGAAACTAGTCAAAATAAAAATACGAACTTTCAGTAGAAGCGTTTCCGTTTATGTGTTATAAAAGCACAATATGTTCCAAAAGACAGTAACAATATATTATAAAAGACTGCAATAGTATAAAGACTAGTATTTTAATAAAGATCAAGTTCCGCCAGGCCAGTGTTGCTCAGCGGCTGAGCACCATCCTATAACCCAGGAGATCACGGTTCGATTCCCGGTCAGGGCACAGGCCCGGGCTGCGGGCTCCATCCCCTGTGGGGGGCGTGCAGGAGGCAGCTGATCGATGACTCTCATCATTGATGTTACTATCGCTCTCTCCCTCTCCCTTCCTCTCTCTGCAATCAATAAAAATATATTTAAAACAAACAAACAAAAAAGATCAAGTTCGAACCTCTAAAAAACCTTATAAACCAATATATAATCATTTACAAATTCAGACAGTATGGACATTGATGGAGCTAGGAGCTGGGCGCCCCTCTTGTGCTGCTTGCTGCGGGAAAGTGAGGGCGGGGAGTGCTGGGTCTGCCGGGGTGAAGGGGGCAACGCTGGGAGTTTCTGGCTTCACCTCATCTATTTTCCAAGCTCTCTTATCTGGTTACTTTTGTATCCTTGATCCCTTGTGGAGTTGCTGATACATAGTAGTGTCTCAATAAATACTGGGTAAATGAGTGAACTGATTATTATTTTAGTGGGCAGGGCGTTCCGGTGGCCTCCACTCTACCCTTTCCCTGTAAGAGCCCTTGTTCCCATGGGGACATGGGGCTCTGTGTGTGTCAAAAGCGCCCTAGGTGAAGCACACAGGAACCAGGCAAATAGCCCTGGGCAGGTGCTGGGTGAGCAAGTCCTGCAGTAGAGCACCTACGAGGGCAGAAAACAAAATCTGCTTTTTTATTATTTGCTTATTAGTGAGAGAAACTGCCACT